GTACTCACCACATACAGAAGGAAAAAAGGCGATAAACAATAGCTATAAAGGTAAAGCTAAAAATCACACAAAACTTTCTGTTCAACTAAACATTTATTTTTGTAAAACTACTTATTTTGATTATTGCGTAACAAACAAGCAATATGATTCCAACACATTTTGTGGCACAGAAAAAAATATATATCTTTTAAAAGGAAATGGGTGACAAGAGAATTTAAAGAAACCAAAGGCGTCATGCAAAAAGTTAAATAGAAAGGAACGAGTAATTTAACCATTAAAATAAATATGAGAAGAAAACTTAAATTTGAGAGGGCTTTTAATGTTAAAGAAAATTAAAGGTATAAAATGTTGATTTTAAATTTTACAGAAATTTATTACAGCTATGGATTTAATTAAAAATAAAAGTTAAGAAAAAATGTAAAAAGAAATCCCTCGATACGGACCGAAGTCCGCATCTCGGGAAAAAAAGGAACCAGCAAGAAGGAAAAACCAACAGAGAATCTCCTAAAAAAAGGTTACTTAAAAAATTCCTTAACTGGTATAGGACCAGAAAAATTACGACCAATTAAATTTAAAGAGGCGGAGAGTTTGAAATTTTAAGGAAAGAGATTGGCTAGTTAGCCCCCCTAAAATTAAAAGAAGAAAAAGAAAGGCGTGAATAGAGGGGTTGGTTGACTTTCCCCACAGGAAGTGCGATGACCGCAATGACCATGAGAAAGGTCAACAAGAAAGTTAGATTAAAATTGCTAAATTGGAAAAAAGGAAAACGTTTAAAGAAAAATTAAAGGCTTAAGTAAATTTAAAAATTAATTTGTCAGTTTACATTAAGTGTAAATGTGACAGGGAGTATAGGGCCTTTGTCGCGACTCTTCATCTCATCCTATTGGTTGCCATGCAAGCACTTTATTTCTCTCTATGCTTTGTTTATTGTCTTTAATTTATTAATAATAGTTTTGCAAGCCGCGATGGCTCAGGGGATAGAGCGTTCGCCTTGCAATGAGGCGAACCGGGTTCGAATCCCAGTCGATACGAATTCCGCATCCGGCTTGCACCGACCACAGTGCTGACGTGAAATATCCTCAGTGGTAGGCGAATCATGGGTTAGAGTCCCCCTGCCGTCAGGGTAACCGTGGGAGGTTCTCGTGGTTTTCCCCACCATGTAACGCAAGTTCCATCATTAAGTCTTCCACGAAGGCAAATTTCTCTTAATACTTGAACCAGGAGTACCCTTATCTTCTGGATTGGGTTTTAAATTACAAGGCTACGCAGTAGTAAACCCTATTATTGGGTCGGCTGTTCAACAACAATTATATATAAATAATAATTTTGCGCCATGCCATTTTAGGTCCACTCTTCTTTCGTTCATTTTGGGGTGTCTAGTCAAGCCCCTGTTTAGCTTTTGAATTTTTCCGGTTTTCCGATAGTGTGTCCAATTCATAGCCATTCGTGTTCTCTGATTTCCATTTCTGTTGGTTTTCACTTACTGGTTTTAAATTTTTATTGGTAAGATATTTTGCGAAACCATTTTGTATTAAGAATTCTTATAATAGTTCTCTGCCTGCTAGAGCAAAAAGCCAGTATTGTCCGTGCTAATTGTTAAACACAATTTCTGCTCAAAACAATGTTCGCCGTCTAATTGGTTTCAAGCCAATAGTGTCCCTTAACCGCAATATAAAATTCTTAGCAGTTTTATTGGTAACATAAAGACATAGCATAATATGGTAACATATCACCAAATAATAATCTTATTGTATTTTATTGAAATTTCGAGGTTTAATAGCCAATGGTATTTTTTATTTTACTAGTCGAGTATACACGTCATATGCACAGATTTGGTGTACATACGTCAAACGTGCTTAACCGGTTACGTCGTAGTCGGAAAATAGAATCGTGTGTTTTTTATATGTGAGTTAAGACTGCGAAAAAACTGTGGAGCTATGAATATGAAAAACAACTAACAAGGGAAACTAGGGAAGTGTGACTCGCCAATTTTGAAATAAACTAGTGGGATGTATGCCTTATGAGGAATAATTTTAGGGAGCAACATTCGTTTCGGCCCATAGAACGTCCTGTGAGAGATAAAAAATAATTCAATATATGGAAAAATCAGTATTTTATTACTTCAATGCAGACTATTAGTTATTGTAATTGTCTCATACTCCAATTAATTTGTAATTAATTGGATAATTAATTACTTTCACGTACTATATAATGCATATTTATTGTTAAAATTGATTTTGAAAATTTTATGTATCTGCAGATTTTCAGAAAAACCTGTTAGGTTAATTTAAAAAAAAAAAATTGACATCAAAATTTTTTTTTTTCAAAAAACTTTTCAAATTAATTGGAGTATGTAATTGCAAATCAATTAATTAATTAATAATTTGTGATTAATTTATTAATTAAAAAAATAATTAATTATCCAATTAATTACAAATTAATTGGATTATGAGACAATTACAATAACTAATAGTCTGCATTGAAGTAATAAAATATCGATTTTTCCATATATTGAATTATTTTTTATCTCTCACAGGACCTTCTATGGGCCGAAACGAATGTTGCCCCCTAAAATTGTTCCTCATAAGGCATGCATCCCACTAGTTTATTTCAAAATTGGCGAGTCACACTTCCCTAGTTTCCCTTGTAAGTACAACTTATCTGCAAAGAAGGCCAACTGACTTCTGATTACAACAATGGGCTTACCAGGTCTAAGCAAATGTTTCAGTTTGGTTTTGAGACAAATGGTTGCCTTTTGAAATTAGGATACCTCAAGATTATATTCCAATATTTTAGAGTACTTAGTGTCAATATATTACATCTAGTATTTTATGCCAAACTCATTTTGTTTTAAGACCGTAAATTGCTAGCACTTATCTGAGAGATGGTACTCAGGATATCTAACGTGAGACTTTTTAAACTTAATATTAGAATACTTTTCATTTTTTATCTTCCAATATTTGTACAACACAGACCATTTTAAAGCAATGAATTTGAATTAGCTTCTAATTGTGACCAAGTTTTCATCAAACATAGACGTCAGTGGCGAAGGGGGGGGGGTGTTGGTATATGTCCCCTTTAATAATTAAAAATCTTACCCCTTCCTTCTCGCTCCCGTGAAAATGACGGGATGAGGTTTCGCCCTCTATTTCTCGCTCCCGTTATATTTCCGGGCTGGAGTGTTCAGTAGTAACGCGCCAATAAGAATAAAACTTATTCATTTCTTTAGCCTGGAAAATATTTTATTTCTTATTTTACACACCAGATGGCAGTACCAGGATATTTTTAAGGTAATTGTAGATAGAGAGAGGTAGTAAGAGATGTAGGAAGGAAACTCGGTACTACTGTCCAGATTGTGACGTTGGCCTCTGTATCTCATACTTTGAAATTTATCACACAAGAAAAAATTACTAACCTTTATTTATATTATACGTAAGTTTAATAAAATTATTTTTTAATGTTTAAAACACATATTATTCAAATTTTCCTTGCTTGACATATGAAAACCAACATTAAGTCATGGTAACCCTGAATGTTGGCTTTACCTAAAAATTTAATTTTTTAAAATTTCAAGCTAAAAACAAATCGAAAATTAAAAATGAATATATATATTGTTCATACACATATTTTTATATAGTTTTCAGGGATAAAAAAATAGGCACTTTTATGACCGTTTTCTTGAAAATTAATCGATCGTTAAGGGGTTAAAGTCCACCTCATTTTTAGACAAAGAAAGAAAATTTTCATGAACTATCATCCATTTAAAGTTATGAGTGTTACAATCAATAATTAGATTAATGTTTTTACAGATGTTCAATAAACTGAAGGAAAATTTTTTGTACGTATGAAATTTAAACAACTAGTGTGACTGTATATTTTACTTTAGTCCTGCTCAAAAATTGGATACCAGCGACGATGCTATTGAAATTAAATTTCTTTTACAAATTGTTATATTTTTTATTGATAAAATTATATCTTTTTTTTCCCCTTGCATACTTCGAAAAAGCGCTCTAAAGAATCCTATGCCCAGGGTCTGTAAATATCAGTTTTTGGCTCATTAATGTAGATTTAAACTTCGCTGACAATAAAAAAAAAAGGGGGGGGTAACACTTCAAGAATTATAATTTTTTGCCCAATTTTTTAATTTTTTTTTTATTGTTTTAAGCTTCCTAACTTATTCTTTGAGAAAGTAAAAATGATACGGAGAATAAATTCCTATTGATTTAACATTTAAATTCAATTCCGTGTGTCCATAGTGGCACTTGTTGCTGATATATCGTAAAAAGATTGTCTTACCTCGTAACCGAAAGTGATGGCCATGACAGCGATTAGGAATGCAAAGAACGCTTCGAGCTTTCTAAGTCCATATTTATCCAAAAATAAAAATGTGAAAGTGTCGACTATGGTGATGAGAACTCCTCCATACAATGGGAGCCTATAAAGAGGTTAAATTGTTATCACTAAAGTGTAGAAATCAGTTTTTCTACAGATCATGTGATCCGTTTTGAGTGCCAAAAATCGTTTGATTTATCAAATTACTAAGGTACGACTCTGCGAACTATCTAGATAATATGCACAAGACCAATTAGGAATTCATTAAAGTGAAAATAGGGAGACCGCGGTGGCTCAAGAGAGGTGAATCAGGTTCGAATTCCAGCGGTTGATACAAATTTGCACTCTGCTAAAACCAACCACAGTGCTGGCATAAAATATTCTCAGTGGTAGAAGGATCATAGGTTAGAATCCTCTTGCCGGGGCTATCCATGAAATGTTTTCGTGGTTTCCTTCGCCATGTAAGTTCCATCTAAAAGTTCGAAAAGAAGGCTAATTTGTCCAATGCTTGATGCAGGACCTTTTTTTATTTTATAACGTCGTTGAACAGCTGACCCAACTTTGAGTTTACGAATACCAAAGTTCAACTCCGTAGCCATATAATTTTGAACCCAATCCAGAAGAGAAGGGAACTCCTGGATCGAGTATTGGGAGATTTTTATGATGGACTCATTATGGAGGACTTCAGGATGGAACTAACCCGAATTTGCGTTACATGGAGAGGAAAACCGCGAAGACCTCTCACAGATATTCTGATGACCAGGGGACTCTAACCCACGATCCGTCTACTACTGAGGATATTTTACGTCAGCACTGTGGTCGCTGCGAGCTGGGTGCGGAATTCGTATTGACCAGCTATCCAATGGGATTCGAACCCGGTTCACCTCTTTAGGAGGCGAACGTTGTATCCCCTGAGCCACTACGGCTTCCAGGAGCTCTTTTGTCCTCTGGGATAAGTTCAGAATTACAAGGTTACGAAGTTGAACCTTGATAGTCGAATACTCAGAATTGGACTTTCGAGCTTTAGGGGCAACAGATATATATTATACAATATGTTTTTAGGTGATTTTCAGTGGGATAAAAATACGACCTTTTCAGAATTCGATTTCTCAGTAACTATTTGACCGATTTTGTTCGAATTTGATATTTTGCCATATAAGATTACTTTCTTTAAAATTATGTAAAAAAATTGTATACCTTACTATTCAAAAGTTTTCAACTTTTATAAAATAAAATAATAATATTTATTTGCTGAAAATTATTTTTTGTATGGAATTATCTGTGGAAAAACGAATTTTACAATTGTCTGCACAATTTTTTTTTTCGATTCGCTTAAAAAGTTATGGTATATGGTATAAAATATGGTATAAGTTATGGTATAAAAGTATACGGAGAAACATGCAAAAAGTAAAATTAGCATTAAGGGGTCTAAACAATGGATCCCTCTCCTGATCAAACTGTGGGAACCAGATTTCCCAGATTGCCGCTACACATTATAATTTGAAGAACAGAAACCCCGAGTCCATTGAAAAAACGGTATTTGTGACTGATTTTGATAGCTTAAAATATAATTTTATTTTATTTTATAACCGTCGATGGACAGTCGACCCAATTTTAGGGGTTTACGACTACCAATGTTTAACTCCGTAGCCTTGTAATTTTGAACCCCATCCAGAAGACAAGGGAACGCCTGGATCGAGTATTGGGAGAAATTTGCCTTCATGGACGACTTTTTGAGGGAGCTAACCCGCATTTGCGTTACATGGAGAGGAAGACCACGAGAACCTCCCACGGTTAGCCTGACGGAAAGGGGACTCTAACCCATGATCCGTCTACCACTGAGGATATTTCATGTCAGCACTGTGGTCGTTGCAAGCCGGATGCGGAATTCGTATTATTCTCTTAAAATATCATTTGTACGAGAAACTCTCAAACTATTAAGATTGAGTTCAAGAACGTGAAGATCAAAAAATCATTCCAGGTGGGCCATTTATTTTTTTGCGCACTGCACATATGACGCCATTCTTTCATATTTTGAAGTTCTGATTAGTTACAGTTATGCATGTTTAAATCCAACTTACTTTTTGTTCGTAAGCAAGTATAAGGCGATAGCTGTCCCTATCACCTCCTGCATATCTGCTGCTATGATGGTGATTTCCAGCATTATCCACAGCAGGTACCTTGGAACAGGAGAAAACCTTCTCCTGCAAGTCTCAGCCAAATCTTCACCAGTGACTGCGCCGATTCTTGCTGCCAGCCTTTGAATAAACAGGCCAACTAACGTGGCCCAAAATAATATCCAGACAACAGCATATTTGGCCTCTATTCCAGCCTTGAGATCTGCTTCTATATTTCCTGGATCAAGGTAAGCTATGCTCATTAGGAAACCAGGTCCACTGAAAGCCCACAATCTTTTGAAACTAAAATCATACTTTGAAGAAAAAGGGAGGGAAATGTTTATGATGTAATTAATAATGAAATATACTACGGCTTTGAGAACTCCTCCAGACTGAAAGTCTGGGGCTGTCTGCTGCTATGGTAACAAGCGAGAGCACATTTCTAATGGGGGTGAAATGGAGGAAAGCAGGTGTCGATTGGTTTGCTCACAACGACCTACGCTAATATTAAGATTCATCCCACACCCCTATTCGAAGTGACCTTTCCTCGTAACCATAGTATCCGCCACGGCGCGAGGAGGGTGTCTAGAGGAGTTCTCCTGAAAGCCGCACTATACATTTTAACACAGTGTCTTGCATTAAAGGCAAGTAAAGTAATTTGACCAACAAATGAGTATGAGAAGTTTTTCTTTCTTTATTTATATCAGCCGTAAAAATAGGTCAATTTATTATTTCTAAAGTGATAAAGATTACGATGCAGAGAGCATAGCTACGTCAGAGCTGCTAGTTATTTCGGAGTTAGGACAGATATTTCTCCAAACGATCTAAATATCAAAACTTATGTTTTACCATTCAAGTTAAACTGCGTTTGTTGAAAAGTAGATTTAAATAAATCAAAAATATTGAACATGTAGGAACATGTTTGTTTATAAGGTATTTTAACAACTTCCGTTTAAAGTTTTAACACATTGGAAACTGTATACATAAGAGATATTTAATCAAAATTATTTAATATTTTTCAAATTTTTTCTAATGTTTGAAATTTATAAACATATTATAAAAATTGCTTAATATTTCAGACTGTCATAGTTTAAATTAAAACCTTAATTTTAAACTTAGCAAAATTATTAGACAAGTAAAGCATATTGTATATAAAAGGAAAATAATTATAGATATTAGCTGCAAACGTCAATCGTTGAGAAATAAAAATATCCGGTAATCATTAGTCATTTACAATGTGTTAAAATCTTTAGCTGGGGAAAAATAATTTGAACAAAAATTTTAGTAAAGGAAAGCCACGAGAATTTTGGTTACAGAAACAACGTCCAGAATGGAGTGATTTGTCTAATCCATTAATTTTTTACAAAATTTAGAGAAGTTGACAAAAAATTGCATCCTCAGAAATAAGTGGGTCACTTTTTCAGCAATCTGAAAGTGTTAACAAATATCTAACACCACATCTTAAAACTTATTTTGAAAAATTTTATTTCAAATATGTTAAAATTCACTTTAAAAATTGAGTGCAAGTGTTTATGATACTGTTGTAGTATAATAATTATTTTTCAAAAAACGTATTTCAAATTCGATAAACAAGGAAAAGTAAATAAATGAATAAAACAATAAAGTTTTTGACGATTTTAAAGTAATTTATATAAAAATACGTAAAACCCTTTAATAAAAAGATGCATTTTGAAAATTTAAAATTTGTGGCAATTTTTGATTACTAATTTCATAAAAGAAAAATATATCATGTGGATCCCCTCTTTTTTTTAAAGAACAAATTTTGAAAATTCTATGTCTAATGTAAAATAGATTATGCATTGCAATTGAATAGCAGAAAGTATTTCAGTCCTACAAACTGTTTTTCGTGAAAGCTTAAAAAAAGTAATTAGCAGAACTACAGAGCTACAAGTTAACTAACTGTGTACCACTTTTCAAATTAAATTCAGGGTGTTACGTAATAATCACCCTTAATACACATTTTTAAAATCCATGTCAAAAATAAAGCATGAAAAAGTACATTGAGGGTCGCAAAATAATATTTACTCTAGGGGCCGTTCATATATTACATTTAAATGTTTTTGGCAAGAAGAGAGTACCTGCACATAAATTAACATCTCCCCTTGTATATATAAGCAAATCTCAAACCCACTCTCATACTTAAATAATAAAGTCACAACTATCCCCTTGTATTTTGCAGTAAAATTTACTCAAGTAAATTAATTTTAGTATTAAATTCAAATAAAAGATATAATTTTGCAAAAAACAAAATGTACGACTTAGTTCTTTTAATATAATTTTGAGTAGAATTTATTGTTTAAGCTATCTACGAATAAACTCAACGCATAAGAATCAAATTAGATGGTATGTTTCAGCCATTTTTTCGTATCTTTTATGACATAGTTTCTTTTTCATTTTCTTCTACTTGGGTAAGAATTTTCATACATCCATTCTGCAACTTCTATGCCTATTTAATTACGCACATAAGCTCATTTTTTTTAAAAAAAAATTATTCTTAAAGATGATTTTGTGATTCGCTTCAGTAAGTTAAAAACCTCTAAAACGTCTTGAAGTCAGTTTTTTCGAACTTTTTCTTTCTTCAAATTTAAATTAAGTTTGAGATTCTTTCCAGAGCAATTTTTTAAGTTCACTTGTTGCATTTTTTCTTCTTAAAATTGAAAATAAGAGGGTTTTAGAGTCATATGTAAGCCCTACTCTTACCTCTCCCCCTGCCCTTATCAGCAAAAATTAGCAAATAACAAACCACACTTCATTTGTGCTTATGGTCTGTCTACGCTAAGAACTCCTCCGCCACAAAGTCTGAGGCCGTCTGGTGCTATGGAAACAAGAGTGACGCATTTTAGGGTGGGTAGCTTCACTCTAGACAACACAAGAGACCGAAGAAAAAAATTCCCTTCCTCCTACCGATCCGAGTCGAAACAGTGACCCCGCACCCCTACTTGAAATAGTCATACCTCGTCACCATAGTCACCGCCACAGGTCCAGACGAATGTCTGGAAGAGTTCTTATTTTAGACAGACTATAGATAATATTTTAACACTCCCGAGGAAAAAACGAAAACGCTATTGCAGTTTGACAAATCACTATTCAGAAAAGCGGGCGCACAGAATATTAAAACTTGTTTAACTGTGGGCAGCAATAAAGAGAATTATTACAATCGGCCTCCTCATGGTTCGCAGAAAAAAAATCAGGACAACATTTTTCAGAAATACCAGGACATTTTTGTGAACAGTACAAGACTACTTTTAAAAAAGAAAAGGGGAGTTAGGGCACATTAGCAGGATTAAAATTGTATAGAAACCCATGACCAAATATATTGTACGCAGTCAATGGTGCTTTCCTTTTATAACCTGTTCAGAAGATCACCAAGAAACTTCATAATAGGGAAGCGACCCTAGCAGCACATGACGATATTTCCGGATATGGGCTCCTATGCTATTTTAATCCTGATAATGTGCCATAGCTCCCTTAGAAGTTTGTCGCAAAATTTATACAACCCTCCATTATCTATAGCGTTTTTAAACTTGAACATTTCGAGAAAAAAATAGACTAAAAGTGCCATTAAAAAAATAAATATATTGTAACTTGGAGAGATAATTGAAATTAGTGACGTGAAAATATTCGACGTACGTTAAAAAAACTTATGCAATAGCAAAAAAATAAAAAATAAAAATTCCTATCGTTATTTATCTTATTAAAACAACGTTACCAAATACTTCGATAAAATATTTTCAAATGTTAAGATGTTAAAAATAATCTTCAACGAAATAAAAAAAAAAAATGTATTTACATTTTCCGAAGAGGGAACTTGAATTCGTTCTTCCAGAACATCACTGTCCGCTGCGGACACTAATTTGCTGGTGCCCGTAGCGAATGATGATAGCATTGTTGTGGTACTGCCATAGTTTTGTTTATTTGATATAGTTGACAAATCTGTGGAGAGAAAATAGAAAAGGTTAGAAAAACTTAGAATACTTTTTACAGTGAATTTATTTTTCCATGAAAAAAGGTTCCATGTATTTTTTTAAGGATTTTCATTATAACTAATATAAAGTTTTATAGTAAATATTATAAATTTTTATTAATTTATGGGAGATATTTCAGAAACAGAGGTGCCGGAACGCGGACTTGTCACTGTGACCACCCCCTCCAAAATGGTCACTTCTCGGGAATTTGGCAAATTTAGGTAATTGCCAAATTTACGGAATAGAGATGCGGTGGCTAATGTGATGACCAAGGATCGAATCCCAGAGTTGGGTGGTCGATACGAATTCTGACCATAATGCTAGCATAAAATATCCTCAGTGATAGATGGATCATGAGTTAGATTCCCTTTGCCGTTGGGCTAACCGTGAGAGGGTTTCGTTGTATTTTTTCTCACCATGCAACGCAAATTTGGGTTAGTTCCATGAAAAAAAGTTCACCACGAAGACTTGTTTATATCGATGCTGGATCCAGGAGTTCTCTTGTCTTCCGGATTGGGTTCAAAATCAAAAAGCTACGGAGTTTAACATTGATAATCGTAAACTCAGAATCGGGTCGGCTGTTTCGATACCAGTTATAAAATAAAATAGAATGCGTAGTAAAGGGGACTAGAAATTATTTTAGATTAGGCTACGAAAAAGAAGCTTAACTGAAAACATTAAAAAAATTACAAAAATTCGCTTTTAGCAAATAAAATCCTCTTTATCAAGAAAGACTTCTTTCACTACTGCTTAAGACTAGCTGTTATTTATAGATAATCATTAATAGATTTAAAATTGTGAAGAAAAAAAATCATTTCATTTGAGTACATGAAAAAGTATACAATTAATGCTTATTTCATGCAACAACAACAAAAAAAAATATGAATCGGTAAAATTGCAGTTTCGTTCGTTAAAGTAAGAATCCCTCCCCCCGAAATCTACAAGTTTGTAGCATCTCTCTCCAGAAACGTGTCAAGTACCCAACTTAAAGCAATAAAGAATAATTTGATGTAAAAATTTTGGAAGAAAAAGTTTTTGAAACAAAGAAAAATTTTGAAACAAAAATTTTAAAACAAGAAGTTTTGAAAGAAAAGATGGTTTCTTATTATATTGCTTTAAGCCCTGGGATTGTTATTATATTTTAAAGAATCAGGGTAATAGCAAAACTGTCAAACAGAATTTTGTCGTACGTTTTAGACAAAAATCAACTATCTTTTGAAAATCGGTTGATTTTTAAGTCCAGTTAATAAACATTTAAAAATGAGAATTATTATATTTATACAGGATGACTTACCTATATCGGAAGGATAATCCTTCTTTCCGTTCATGTTTTCCATATTCATTTTTGGATCAGTTGATCATACTTCTTATTCTTGCTGGAAGGGAATAAAATAAAAATTTATGTTTATTGTAAGGATTTTGAGATTTTTCGAACACTGGTCGGGGAAAGTGATGCTAATAATTTCAGAACCAAGGGTACGTAGCCAAATTTTTCAGCAAAAAATAAGAATCTTTTAAGCACTTGGAAAAATATAATTAGACAGGGTTGGCAAGTTTTTGACTATTGATGGTTTTATTTACAGTGACGAAGACGATGGCGCGTCACAAACGATGAAATTAACAAGAGAAAAGAAATTTTCCTTCGCTAATAGAGAAAAAAAATCAGCAAAAATTCGAGAGATTTTTTCGATTCTATTACAGAGGGCGGAAAATGAAGTCTGAAATTGCGAATCTCTTGCAAAATGTAGGAGGGTTGCACATGAGAAACGAAAATTCTTACAATCCAGCTCAGTATACGCAAGTGCGGACCCGCAAGTATTTCATCAAACATGTAAAACAAATGGTGTTTTCATACACTACAGACCGCCGGTAAGCCGAAATTTGTGGCGAAAATCGACATGGCAAAGAAAAATATTTTGCTCAACGTATAATTTTCACAAATAAATATTCAGTGTATTTTCATAAATAAACTATTTATTATAATATGTGTAATCAGTTCAGATGTATTAAAAACTGTTTAAGATACCTCACATTTTACACTATTATTACGTTTTTCTACGCTTATCCGACTAGCTAGAGTACTCAAACCTGTACCAGAGCACTTTGTTAAATGACAATACAAGTTACAATCGTTTCCTACATACTAAATGTATCGCCATAATATCTCCACAAGGAATTTATCCTTAAAAGAATTAATTCATCCGCTGGCCGATTAAATAGAAGGCTCCATACCATTAAGTAGAATGCTCCACCAAAGTTCCATGTCTGCTGGGCAATACAATATTCCATCATTTTTTGACCGCCCCAAACAGAATGTATGACGCGATTTTATCGTCCAGTACAATTTATCCATAGAAAGTTCGAGAATTTTCTAGGCAAGTTGGAAGGCTCAAATTTCAAACGAATCTTTGTGTTTGAGTCTATTATTAAAGTTACAAAATTTATTGCAATTCAAAATTTCGATCACTTTTCTGCGTAAACAAACTGACCGATGCAAAACTAAAAAGAAGAAACAAATTGAAAGTTGTAAAATTAAACCTGATGATGTCAAGCTAGTAAAAGTAAAACTAGGGTATAGTCCACTAAAAAAAAATGTGCTGACTTACCGTATTAGTTCAGCTCCTTTTTCCTAACTGCTGATTGAAAAAAATGTTTCCCTTGTGATTATTTTTTTTTTTCGTACTGTGACCATGCAAAAATATTGGTTCCACTACGTTTGAGTTTACAAAACGGTTTTTCCGCAGCTCATATATTAATCTATCTATGCATATAAATGAGTCTAATAAATTTTGTTAGATTTTTCCTCTGAGGGAAAAACATATTTGCTAGCCTCTTTTTTCCAAATTTTTTTTTTTAATTTTGATGTTTTTTATTCTGATAAATCCTTCCTTTTAATATTGTATTATTATTGTCCTTAATTATAATTCTTGAATAGTTTAGATTGTCAGTTACAATCAATAGCTAGCACTTTTCAAGCATACTAATCACCTCTGGCAATCAGCTGCTCGGTTTTTCCCCCTCAAGATTCTAATACAATATAAACTCAAAACTGGAAAAAAAAATATTTCAGCCAGAAACTTGCTCAGTTATAAATATTTTAAATCAGCTGCTTGTATTTTTCTTTTCTCAAGATTCTAAGAACACAATATAAATTCAAATATAAAAAGAATACTTAAAGCCAGAAAGTTGATCAGTCATACTTTAATTTTTAATCAGATGCTCGGTTCTTTTTCTTAAGATTCTATGAGCGCTATATAAGCTCAGAACTAGAGGGGATAAATATTTCAGCCAGAAAGTTCTCAGTCATAGTTTTTTTAAATCAGCTGATCGGTTTTTTCCCTCAAGATTCTAAGAACACTATATAAACTCAAAACTAGAAAAAAAAATATTTCAGCTAGAAACTTACTCAGTCATAATTTAATTTCTAATCAGCTGCTTGGTTTTTTCCCCTTAAGATTCTAAGAACACTATATAAACTCAAAACTAGAAAAACAAACTACTTCAGCTAGAAAGTTGCCCAGTTATAGTTTTTTTTAAAATAAGCTGCACGTTCTTTTTCTTCTCAAGATTCTAAGAACACTATATAAACTCAAAACTAGAAAAAAAATATTTCAGTTCTTCGAATTTTTAAATAAGTCTTACTTATTTAAAAATTACTATTTTTAAATTTATTTTAATTTTTTAGTAAGTCTTCGCAACGGAAACTCTATCGTGACATGCGTGTCTCGGATAGCCTATTTATGATGTTAAAAGATTGCTTACATTATAGATTAGAACTATACATACAACAAACATTTTGAAATAAAATTATACTTACATACATGATTATGATAGTCAAGCACTTTTATGACGCGATTTTTCCATTAATTCAGGAACTTATTTAATTAAGAATTAAGTCAGGAGTGTGTTGGAATATGTATTTATACGAAACTCAACAAAAATATATATTAAACAAGTAACTTAAAATTAATTTAAAAGGAAGAAAATAAATCTTCAAGGAATTTCAAATGATCGAACATATTACAAACCTTACTACCAGTATCCTTTCGAATCTCTGAGGTAGTAACCAAAAATTTAATCTTCACATTTTTCTGTCGTAAAAAGTTTTTAATACGCTTGTTCACGTGTTAAGTTTTAATAGAAAAACAATTCTAGATGATGAAATACAGTTGAAGTGCTTCACTTTTACGATTTTATTTACCGTTTCTATACTTCGCGTCACCTTAATTTGGAAGCTTTTTAGAAACTGATGAATGCAATTTTCTTAAAAGACATGTTTTCAGTTTTCCCACCTCCAGAAAAATCAATTTCCTCTATAATTACAGCTCTCAAATTTCAAATCGGAAATATAGTTAATTAAATTTGTCTTCCGAATTAAAATTTAAACCAAAATGATGGTTAAGCAAAGAGAAAAAAAATCTCAAAATTATTATCAAATTTTTAGTAATTTGTAATTTTTGTTCGAATATGCAATGTGAAGTGGACGATACGCTAAATAACGGTGCGTCATTTGTAAATATTGATACGTGATTTGAAAAGCAGATATTATAGCCATGATTTAATTTTTAAAAAAAGCATGAATGCGAAACGCGATTTATAATTTGTAAAAGGCGTCTTACTAATATTGGGAGTACAAATTAGTTCGGTCCGTTTTTTTGTGGTTAAAAATGCGTTTATTTCTGAACAAAATGAATAAACAGATTAATCAAAGTATTGTCCATCATTGGCTACTACTTTTTCCCATCTGTCAGGCAATTTTCGAATTCCATCTCGAAAAAATGTCTCGTCTTTTGAGGCGATCGAAGTTAGGAGCCAATTTTCGATTTCTGCGAAAGAAGTGAACCGGTGACCTGCCAAATCATGCTGCATAAGTCGAAAAAAAACCTTTAATCAGAAGGAGCAATGTTCGACGAATATGGCGGGTGTGGTAAAATATCCCATTTGACTGTTTCCAAATAATATTTTACGACTTTTTGGACATGAGGCCGACCGTTATTATGCACAAGAATAACTTTGTCATGTCTTTGCTTGTATTCCGGTCGTTTTTCTCGTAATGCATGGCTCAAAGGAATCAATTGTAGCCTATACCGATCGCCCGTAATGGAATCGCCAGGTTGTAGCAGCTCATAGTATGCAACACCATTCTTGAAACGTCGAAACCATTCCCTACATGATTTATCAGTTGGAACATTGTCACCATAAACTTCTACAAGCATTCGATGCGATTCAGCTACATTTTTCATCCAATTGAAGCAGAAACATAAAACCACAAGAAAATGGAGCTTCGTTACCACAAAAATTGACATATTCAACTAAGTAAAAAACAGGGTTTCTGTACGAAACTCAAAGCGATATAAACTGAATATTATTGACGGATATCTAACCTCTCTGAAACCACCGAAACCAGACGCCACTATGAAACATTCATAACAGCCAGAGCCACCTTTTGAAAACGGACCAAACTAATTTGTTCTCCCAATAAATGTTAAACTCTCATAAAAGCTGATTTCAGCATATTAAAGGAAAAATCTAGAAATACCTACGGAGGTTATTATTTGCAAGAATTTGTGAAACTTTCACCTTTCTAGAGGTGAACCGGGTTCGAATCCCCGCGATAGCTGATCGATATGAATTCCGCATCCGTCTTGCACCCTTCACAGTGCTGACGTAAAATATCCTCAGTGGTAAACGGCACATGGTTTAGAGATCCTTACCGTCAGGCTAACCATGGGAAGTTTTCGTGATTTTCCTTTGCACATAACGCAAATAAGGGTTAGTTCCATCAAAAAAGTCCCCCACGAAGACAAATTTCTCCCGATACTTGATGCAGGAGTTTCCTTGTCTTCTGGATTGGGTTCAAAATTACAAGGCTACGGAGTGGATCGGCTAATAATTGGGTTGGCTGCTCAACGATGGCTATAAAATAAAAATAAAAAGTATTTGCTTATAAGAGGGGAGGAGAAATCAAAGTTTGTACGAAATTGGTTTAATAGTTCTTGAGTTTATGGCTTCATTGAAACTTAATTACTTACAAACTTTTCCATCGATTTCGTTCAAATTTTGATTTTTATCATTGATTTTAAAAATTTATTGCTAATTTTTATTTATTGAGAAAATTGGTTTATTTAAAAAATAGCATAGTTTAAAATGGTATAGAAGTTTGTATACTTTACATTTTACAATTTTTCAACTATTATTATTAAATAATATAATAAATTATTGTAACTTTTTACATGTAATAATATTTTGATAAATTAATTTTATAATTGTGTGCAAAAATTTTTCGACTCGCCTAAAAACTATGGGAGATATGGTGAAATATGTAAAAAAGGAAAAATAACATAAACGGACACAAATTTTTGATCGCTCTCCTGACTAAACTATCAGGACCACATTTTTTTCAGATCGCAGCTACCACTATTTATGGGTCAAAAATCCAAATTCTCTGAAAAACAGGTATGTTTATGCTGAGAAAGTACGATTTCGTGTCCGATTTTGTGCTGGACACTGATGTTAAATATAAAAGTAAGAATACGGTACTCGAAAAACAGAAACATATTAAATAAAACTTAAATAAATTTTATTCTAATAAACGGAGTTTCACAAACTTTATGCCAATCTTAATGGTTCAAAGTCGTGTAATTAGTAAATAATTAGTGCTAACCATTAAACTAAGTAGACACAAAAACGTATTTTAAGTTAGCAGCATATTAATGTACGTGATTTCTCTACGACTTAACAATTTTACTTTAATAAAGCTCGGTACGACAAAAAGTGACGCAGTAAGCTCGGTAACTGAACTAGATCGCTTATTAAAACGAATTATTAATGACTGGAATTGACAATGCAAAAAATTATAGTCACAGTTTTGCAACTAGGCAGCAAAATTAGCTTTATGCAAGAGTCGATTTTTAGGCTACTTTTTCGAACAAAGTATACATAATTATGTATGATCTTTATTGGGTATTTGTTGCGCGATTGTTTTCTATTTGCTGCGTTTGTTTTCCTTTGTTAAAAATGTTACCTATTTGTTTACAATAAAATGAAACACACAACAATGTAATTGAATTAATTATTTTATAAATCAGGCAACATTGTTGATAAGAAGGAAGAGACATTATTCTGATTGCCCAGTTGGATATAAATCAAATGGTATTATTCCGTATATGCCGTATATCCTTTAGTTCCTGGCCATGAAAACAATGCGACATGTTTATTTACATCTAGGTTTGTTTGTTATGTTCAATGCATAACAATATAAAAGAAAATTAACGTACTTTTCTGTTGATAAAATTGTTGTAAATCAGTGGAGCATAGTTAGAAAAAAAAAGTTATGTACTCTAAATGAAGAAGCATCTGAAAAAAAAAAATGCAATTTTTTTATCAACTTAGAGTACTGTTTAACTTTTCTACGAATTAAAAGCGCTACACAATTTTATTTTATTTTATAAACGTCGTTGACCAGCCAACCCAAATTCTGAGTTTACGGCTACTAATTTTCAACACCTTGCTTTGTAATTTTGAATTCAATCCAGAAGACGAGGGAACTCCTGGATCAACGATTGGGTGAAATTTGTCTTCGTGGAGGATTTTTTGATGGAACTAACTTTTTGCATTTGCATTGCATGGTGAAGAAAAAACGCGAAAACCTCCCACGGTTAGTCTGACGGCAAGGGGACAACGCTATACATTTTTTAAATTTATTTTATAACCTTCGTTGAACAGCCGACCCAATTTTGGATTAACGACTACTCATGTTCAACTCCGAAGCCTTGTAATTTTGAACTGTATCCAGAAGACAAGGGAACTCTTGGATAAAGAATCTGGCGAAATTTGCCTTCTTGAAGGACTTTTTAATGGAACTAACTTGCATTTGCGTTACATGGAAAAGAAAACCACGAAAACGTTCCAGGGTTAGTCTGACGGCACGACGAGCCTTTTGCGGAATTCGAACCAGAGTCACCTCGTTGGGAGGCAAGCGCTCTATCCCCTGAGCCACCACGATTCCCGTACTTTACAAATGAAATAAGTATTGCTTTGCTAACTGAGCCACTTACATAAAAATAAGAATTTATAGGCAACGATCGAATAAATTAAAAGGTTTGGAAAAGTATAAGGTTTCGTAACTAAGAGCTTAGTTTTTTTATATAGTAAATTCCTATGTGACGAGATCTTATTTAAATTAGAAAAAATTTTCATAACTGAATTTTTCAAACCAGGAAAAAGTAGTAGAAAACACACTCGGAAACAAATTTTTTGTTGCATTTCTAAAAATACTCGGTTTTTACTTAACTCGAGAGTGGGGATTTCAAATTTGAAATTAGTTTTGCACCTAAAGCTACAGATTTTTTTAAAAATTATTTCTTTTGTCAAAGTGCACAAATTTAAAAACAAAATTAAAAATTTATATACATAACAGAGGGTCGCATAAATGCTGCGACAAACTTCTAGGGGAGTTAGAGCACATAATCAAGATTAAAACTGTATAGGAACTTATACCGGGAAATGTCGTCATACGCGGTTAGGAGCGCTTTCCTATTATGACTTGTTCAAAAGCGCACGAAGAGACAATTCATGATAGGGAAGCGTCATTAACCGCTTGCGACAACTATTCCAGGTATCGTGGTTTTCTATGCAATTTTAATTTGATAATGTGTCCTATTTCCCCTAGAATTCTGTCGCAACATTTATACGACCCCTGTAACAAATAGTTAAGTTTGTTCACTTTGACAAAAAATAGAGCAAAAAGTCACTAAAAAACTGTAGCTTGGAGAGAGTGAAACCTATTGAAGATTTCAAATTGGTGACGTGAAAATATCTAAAATCCGTTAATAAAATTTAATGCAACAGAAAAAAAAGCATTCATCGGTATACTTAAATAATAGGATAATAGGTAAAGTAATTGACTTAAATGTTTAGCTTTCTTTAATATATTATAATTAGTTTAATAATAAAAAAAATTGACAAAAACCAATTAATTAATCATGCAATTTTTCTTCAATTCAAAATATGCTATTTAAAAAAAATAAATTATTAACATCTTTCACGTAATTTTCACTTAAAAAATTTTACAGGCAAT